AGCACGAATGGGTCAGCTCGACCAGGGCAGGACCACGCTCTCACAGAATACCATTGTAAAATAGGAGCTTAACGCTGCTGCCCTTTTACTGGAAAGGAGGCATTCCATCTTAGTCCTCAGGGGTTGCAAGTTGCAACGCATCTGTATTTTGATTCTTAACCGAGGATAGATGTATATGTCTATGGGCCACAGCAACCACTTACCATCAGGTGGACTGAGTGCTCGTTTGTCCCTCTGATCCTATAAAAAATATCTCAAAGTCAGTTATTCCATACAAAATTTCGTACAGACTTGCTCAAAATATATGGAAGACCTGATTTTTCTTGCGATTTGGAAGATAGATTTATAGTAAAAGTTGTTCATATTGACGCGTAGAATAGAAAGCACTATTTTGATTACACCATATATATAACTATTTTTTTAAATAATTTGTGAATATTAGTAAGACGTGTAAATAAAAAAATTAAACTGATATAAAGGAGGCCTTATCATTTATATGTCATTTATTCAGAAGAAAAACCTATACATAATATACACAAATATATTGATACATTCGTTATTAATAAACTATTCATTTTTAAGTATTTCTGGAATACATTCATAACTATGAACTTAACTACTAAGCCATAGCATAAAATAAATTTTCCCGTTAATCGGGTAATAGTTAAGCTGCTGGCATATACAATTTTTCACGCACACTAGCATCATGCAAATTGTCTTATATACACTACAATATTAAGATGCCGCATTCATGGAGATGTTACTTGCAGGGAGCGCGGTACGTAGTCAGAGTGCGCGATGACTTATCATTTATCTATGCCTAGCGCAGCCTAGCGCATCCTAGCGCATCCTAGCGCATTCGTGCGATGACGCGCTTGCACGTGAGTCGCACGGCGGTCAACACAATCTCGACTCTTTATGCGAGTACTTATGGTACATTTTCTTCTCACTGCAAACAGCAGATATTATTATTAAGATTTTGTAGGCTATTATAGCGTAGGTATTTTCGCTTTTGTATAGGAGTGATGTATCTGTTTTGTAAACTATTAACTAATCTGTGATAGTAACGAGAAACGTCAATGCCCATAAACGCAACAATTGTTGCCTTAATTTTAACGCGATAAACTGAGTGGCCACACTTGATAGGTCAGCGTCATTTCAATTTCAATGCCGTTGAACGGCGTTAAAGTATACTGACCATTTATTTTTTAACTCAAAATGGGACATGGGTTTATTTATACTCGCCAGTTAACAGGTTAACAATAAAAACAATATTACGCTATTTATTTAAAAACTGTAACTTTATACAATTAGTGTTCACTATAATTATAATCACATTAATTATAATTATTTTTATTTTAACAAATTGTGAAAAATAAAAATTAATCACCAGTTCACCAGCTTCATTAAAGCAAAGTTCCTCAGACAGTAATTATTAAATGCAACATATTTTTTAATTATATTTATATTTGTCAGTGGAACAAATTTGTTTTAATAAAGTTGGTGATGATTTTCAATAAGGGCAAGTTTGTTTGACATTGATTTTTGTTATTAACATCGCCTTTAGAACTGGAACCTCTAAGTGATTTTTTTTTCAGACTTCCACAATTCATTCATAATAGAAAAATACTTTTTCTATTGGAGCATTTGCACCAGGCAGACATAAAATATATTCGATTAAAATGCAAAAGAATTTATGTTGAAGATTGTTGGTGAGAAATATTTGAATACTTCTACCCAACGAATTTCTGCGAAAACTTTGAAATTATCCCATTCGGTTATTTTTTGGTCAGTCCCGCTCTCGCACCGTTCGTGTCTGACGAACTTCATAGTTTTAAATTTTCTCGCGGTTTAAGACAACGGGACTATTTTGCGTTCCGGAGCTTTGTTTGGGGACAACGGGACAGGTGACCGAGACAAGGGACATACCCGTTCAAAACGGGACGTATGGTTACTTTACGTTAATATTCCTTCAATTTCAAGCAAGATGAACGTTGACGTTGCTACTCTATATTTGATGAGTGTAAATTTTTATTATATGAATATATTTTATCATTGCCTAAGCATGGCTCTGTTTATAGAATCTCAAGAAACGTAATAACTTTTTCATAATTCCACTCTATCGTAGCCATACGTGCGACTCCGTTGCGCTCACCGTGCACAATGAGACAAACGTAGTGTGGCCGCTTCAACGCGTTAATCCGTGCGTTAATCTCTTTTATGTACCGACACTCGAGTTATCCCCCAACGGCAAACGGCATTGTTCTTTTCGTTGTAGAATTATCGCGTTAAGTGGTGGCCACACCTACATTCAACGCCCATCAACGCGATAATTAACGGCATTTCTCGTTAGTGTAAGCCGGGCATAATGAGAAGTGCTAGCGCAAGAGTGTAAAACGTAGTTATTGTACACTCTTTGACAGTGTGACCAGATTAAACAGATTTTAAATTTTTGGGTAAATTTACATTTTGATAGAAATATGTCAATCTACCAAAAATATTGATTTGCTTTATCATCGGTATTTCCGTTCATAGTAGTTTTACAAATTGGGATTTCCACTTAGGAAGTTTAAATTTTTTAAACGGGAGTTACCACTATAACTACCATCTGCACGGCTAGCATGGGCTGGGGACAAAATTTTTAACCCCCGATTATATCCACTGACAAGAGATATAATTATCTTGTCTCTATGCCAAAGCACGGCTACGAGGAGAAGTATATCCCCGTTTGACATAACGAGTAAACATATATCCCCCGTCTGTAGATGACTACGACTTGTATGAACAAAAAATCTATTAAGTCTTGAGTCTATCTCCCATTTTATCTACTGTGGATAGTATAATCACTAGTGTGCCCATGCTCGAAGGGTGAATAAAACTAAGCGAGGGGATAGAGATTTTCTATTTCCCCGGGGATAAAACTATTTCCTGCCCATGCTAGCCCTGCAGGTGAGCCACATGTTCGATTGCGCCTTCTCCCATAAAAAAAAAATAAAATAAAAAAAAACTAATGTGCATTTTGTTTCAAAGTAAAAAATGAACATTTTATTTTGCATTTAAGGTCATAAATCAAATAAAAGTATAAAATAAAAAAGGTGGCTGGCGTGGACACCCGGCATATGTGAAACATCCTAATTCATGGTGGAATTTAAAATTAATTTAAACATATACAACTCATACCAAAAAGCAACGAAGTGTATAGTATACGCGCATGCACACATAAGGGATTCGTGAGCGTTTGCGTAGAGGGGCATGATCCATAAGAGAACATCACGCTCTTTGCTGTAACGACATACTAGTCAGTTTTACTGTCAACGCGCACCTATAGATGATTCTCATCAAAAGTAATTCCGAAACGCACGATTGATATCCAATGTGTCAAGGATGAGCTAGTAGCGAAATACAACTAGTGTAACATGCCACGCCAGAGCCAAGACTCCATTCACAACGGCCGCTACGTCCGTTTTATACAAGCAAAACTAGTAACTAGCCACACGGGCGCAATTGCAAATGCAACGCGCAGGCGTGCGGTGCATGTGTTGTTTACAAAAACTCATGCTAGGCACGAGCGACGGAGCGAGATGAGCGAACGAGACAATCAGTGTGTTAAAAACCTGCCAAATCCTGCCAAAATCTGTAGTGAAAATTGTCTAAATACTGCCAACTTTATTTACAATTGTACAATTGTATTAAACTAAGAAAAGTAAAATACACATTTAAATGCTATATGTATTTTTATTAAATCAAAATTAAACAAATCTTTCGCTGGTTTGAATGCAATGCAATCGCTACGCTCACCAATGCCTTGTTTATCGTGCAAGATAGACGCTACATTTGTTTATTTCTAATTATGTTTCGTGTTTTTGTCTTAATTAAATTTATCTCAGAGAATATTCTGTCGCCTGCTGAATCCACACACATTTTTTGATATTTACTAGTAGTGGCATGCTCTTTAAAGCGGACAGTCGGGATGCCAATTTGTAGTTTTTTTTTTATTGAAAAAGTGTGACAAACAAGCACACAGTCCACCTGACGGTAAGTGAATGCTGCGATACATAAACATCTACATTTATCTTCAATTGAGAATCAAAATGCAGATGTGTTGTCACCCCTGAGGACTAAGATGGAATGCCTAATTTTCAGTAAAAATGTCCGGTTCTCTACACTCACCATATGAAACACAGCAGAATTAAGCTGCTATTTCACGCTGGTATTCTGTGAGAGTGTGGGTCTAACCCCGGTTGAGCCGACCCGTTCGTGCTACAACCATAATATTAAACTGAAGTACGTCTCTTCTTTGACTGATTGAAATATTAACCATAAACTCGTGTTTATCCATACTCGTTTTAAGATTATCTACTTTATACGCAAACTTTTAAAATTGTTTATTGAATGTGATTTAAGCATAACATAAGAGGTACAGGGAAATCCCCCACATGCTGCCAAAGTACCTAGGGTTGCCACTTTTGACATTTTAAGTTGGCATATTTACCGCAATAAGCTTTTATAAAACGTCAACCAATCATGCAAGAGGCTAAAATAAGAGGCCAATCCTGCTAAAATGGCAGTAATCTGGCACATGTGGTCATACTGGAGACAATGTTTTTTTAATGCAACGAAATACTAAAATTTTGGTAGATATTGCGTAGCAAATAGTTTTTTTGTTAGTAGAATTTGGTGGATTTTTGCTGCACTATTTAGTAGGTATATTAAAAAAAATCTGGTCATGCTTATTCACATTCAGAGTTTGTTTCGTTTTAGTTCTGACCAAAGAGCCAAGAACAGATACTATACTCTTTGCAGTTACTAATTACTATCCTAAGGGTATTAGTGTTCTGTGATTACTATACTCTTTGACTCTTTGGTTCCGACTGTTGCTGCCTGCATATGTCTCGTAAAGTAAATAATAACATCTTATTTTATTATTTAAGTTGAAGAAATTTCTTGGTACCTATTATTGAGGAGAGGAATGTCATGGTGTATTAATTTAGTTTGTGAAAATGCATTTTTCTATTCCTGACGTGCAGCAATTTCGTGATGATAATGGGATTACTTATACGGTAAATAACATCCTCCTTCTTAATAATCATGTTGATAAAAACCTATATTTCGCAAGACCTTGATGTCTGCTAACTTTATTGTATAAACCTTAATTTTGTTTTGAAAATGGTAATTACAAATTGTATCCGTGTTCTTGCTTTTAGGCGTTTAACATCTATATTGATGGATTTTTTCATTGTGCTGCTCGCTACAAGCAGTTGCTCAGTCTTCATGAACAGCTTCAATCGCAGAATCCCTACTTGAAACTTCCCCAGTTTCCACCCAAAAAACTTTTTCTTACAAGTTCACAAATAGAAGAAAGAAGAATCTTATTAGAAAAATACATTCAATTAGGTGGTATTCTTTTACCTAAGTATTCGATTTGTTTTTAGTCAGGCCATAATTTATGTCTAGTTGTAGTCTTAATTTTTAAAATAAGTGAAATTTTGAATTTAATATAGAGACAATTTTATTTTTCTTCTTTATCAGTGTTTCCTGCTAAATTGCTTCTTACATTTGATCACTAATCAAAATATTTTCATCAAAATAAATATGTTGTTAACACAAAATAAGAAATTTCTTTTAAGATAAAAAAATTTAGTGTCTAATAATATCAAATCTTTGTAGTTATTATAATACCTTTAAAATAAAAAATATTATGATTTTAGAGCCAATCATGACCTCTATTTTGACTGTTTCAGTGGGACAAAATCCTGTTCTGGCTTACTCTGACATTCTCATTACATTCCTTTTCTCTGCACAACAAGAAACTCATTGTGTCAGAGTACATGAGGTGGACATTGAAATTTCTCTGATGAATGGCTACAGAATACCATTATCAGTATCATCAACAGACTCTTCTGGCACTGTGTTAGATATAGCCTGTAATTATATAAATTTGCCAAAAGAATATGTAAAGTTTTTCTCCTTATATCTTTTTAATTGGAGCTGTGCAAAGGATGGCCAACCATGTTTAAAAAAATTAGAAGAATATGAATCTCCATACATATCTCAGAAGTATGTTAGACCTGATGATAAAATAGTGATTCGTAAAAGGTAGTATAATGTTATTTGATTTTCATGCTTTTAACAAATTTAAAAATAAGTAGTTCTACTGTCTTTTTTATTTATAATTAGAGTTTCAACTCCTTGTCATCTAGGTTTATATCTGCTCTATAATTGAAGTTAGTTATACTCTTTTAAAGTATCTCATTGTAGGTTAATTTAACATTTTCTTTCTTAGTTACTGGGATCCTCGTTATGACATTGATGTAATGTGTGATAGAGTTGCATTAGATCTATTATATTTACAAACAATAGAAGATATTGATTTAGGATGGATCCATATAAACTCACAAATCAAGGACCTATTAAATACACATGAATCAAGAAAAGAGAAGAAAGAGGTGAGTTTTATGCTTATGTTTTGTTCTTAAGTTGTCTTAACCGCCTTATTAAGCTAAGTTTGATCTGTTTGTTCAATGCAAGGACATGTTACTTTAACAATGAGTACATTTTATTTTTGTAACAAATTTTGTGATTATTTCTTTTAATTAAAATTGTTTTATAGTGTTGTGAAATGTTTCTTTCCATTTCTCTCTAATTTGAGATGTTTAATATAGATGCTGCACAGGGCTGAAAGATTATTGATTACATTAATAGAATCCTCATATTTTAGATGTACCTGTCACTGTGTTGTAGTGGTGTAAAAGTTTCAATATCAGCCCATGTGTATCATAACATGCATCAAAGCAACTTTGGCAAATATTCTTTTGTATACTTGTCCTATGTTCAGCAGTAGAATTGTGATAGACTGTAATGAATGATTATAAATGAATGATAACTTGTCACTTCTTCTTCTTCCTCATAACTGCGAAGTCCATTGCTGTCCATAATCACCGTGTTTGCCAGGTTCCCATCACCAGTATAAGCATTTTATGTTTTTTTTTCATAGAATAGGGGTAACAAATAAGTACACAGTCCACCTGATGGTAAATTGATACTTTGGCCCATAGTCATGTACAGCTATCCTCGATTAAGAATCAAAATGAAGATGCATTGTCACCCCTGAGGACTAAGGTGGAATGCCTCGTTTCCAGTATAAAGGGTCCCCAGTTTTCTATACTCACTGTACGAAACACAGCAGTATTGAGTTTCCCCCATCCCGCTAGAGCAGACCCATTCAAGCCACACCTATAATATAGTTGCAGTATGGCTATATAGTATATACCACTGAGTGTTATGCGAGTGTAAATGAGATGGTTACACTGTCAACTAACAAAAGTCATGAGATTTATCTATCTATCCATAGTCCCCTCAAACTCAGATATTATATTATCATAGGGTGATGGGTTTGAACACTGTCCCTAGTTTTTTGTTTAGGTATAATCATTATCAAAATGGTTTTCTTGCTTCTACCTGCTCATGACAACTATGGCAAATATCTACCCTATGAGGCAATATGGGATCCCTATGTTTAGCAGTGGACAGGCTGTAAGCAACAAATGAATGAATTAAATAAAACCAAATGGAAATTCATTCTATAATTACTTGGTCGGGAAAAAAGTTTCTTCGTTTATATACAAATTTAAGACACTTTTTTTTCAAAGTTCAATTACATTTAATTATAATATATATGTGCCATTTTGTTCAATAACTTGTTTCCATTTTGTAGGTAGGTAGTGACATAATTCCGTTGCTGTAGAAATCTTGGGATTTTTGATTAAAAAAAAATGCAACATGTAGTTTTGACAGTCTTCTCTTAATGTTAACCTAACACTACCCAAAGAATTCTGAAGAGAATTCGAAACAGGTGAAAATCTGAGGGTGCAAATTCAGGACTATATGGTGTATGCATTAACACTTCCCAACCAAACTCCCAAATTTTTTGATCAAAATTTTGCTTTATCATGATGAAAGACCACTCCTTTTCTGTTGATCAATTCCGGAAGTTTTTTCTCAATTTCTGGCTTGAGTCTCCTTAGTTGTTTGCAGTAGAGATCCGAATCGATGGTTTTGTCTGGTGGCAGAAGCTCATAATAAACAACGCCTTTCCAATCCCACCATACACACAGCATCACCTTATTGCGTGTTAATCCGGGTTTTGCTGCAGTCTGTGGAGCTTGACTACCCTTTGACCATGATCTTTTTCGCACGTTCTTTTATAGTAGGTGATCCACTTTTCATCACCAGTAATCAATCTTTTCAAAAATGGTTTGTTTTCATTTCAATTTTTTTATCAATATTTGTCCTTGGTATTGTGGTTATGTCACAGTAATTCTGCCAATGTCCGGTCTTTGGTCTGTCACACCTTGTCTTGAGGCTTTTCGGTGGGAAAGGAGTTAGTAGTTTCATTTGATTTTAATGGAGAATCGCAAATGAGTACACAATTCATTAGGTTTCTTTCAGTGTGTTTGTGTGGTACCTAAATATCTTGCTGTTATGTATAGCCAGACTTTTTTAAATGGGTCAAAACTGTTTTGTGTTACGACAATTCCTCTGCTATGTCGTAACAGCTAATATGTCGATCTTGCTCCACTTTTTCAAAAATGTCATCGACTTTATCTGTATGAGGGCGACCAGAGCTAGTTGCATCTTTGACATAGAAAATCCCGGACTAAAAACGGTTGAACCAACTTTGTGATTTTCTTACTGACACTGCATTAGGTCCATAAACGTCAGAATTTTTTTTCGTGGCTTGAGTCGCATTTTTCCCTTTGTTGTACAGAATAAGGGTGACAAATGAGCACACAGTCCACCTGATGGTAAATGAATCAAAATGAAGATGTGTTCTGAAACCTGAGGAGTAAGATAGAATTCAAAAAGAACATTACCAGTAAAAAAAGGTTATGGTTCACTACACTCACTATGAGACACAGCAGCGTTTATTTATTTATTCATTATTTAGGTAATTACACCCACTTTGTTAGTACACTTAAAACTAGGGGTTTGTAAATTTACAGAATACAAATTAAAATTATTATACATTACCAAAATTATCATTTATTGTTAAACATATTGGGCCTGGAACCCATATGCACTATATTCCAGTGCCTCATCACAGGGCAATCTTACCTTCCTTATACGGAAGCTAGGAGGCTGTTAGTGCTATCTCGCACGCGACGCATCAGAGAGACTATTCTTTTGCGCAATATTGTTGCAAGGCTGTCCGTCCACGCGTGCCTCGGCAAACATGCGTGATGCGCTGCAAAAGTTTAGCTGCTGTGTTAGAGATTTGTGTGGCGCTTCCTTGACCAAGTCGACTCATTCATGCTGCAACCATAATAAATTTGCAGCATGAACATTAGTAGTATATACATGTGATATGAATATACCCTCTTTTTTCATGTATTTATCTGCACTAGCCTGTCTCACTCATACTCCCAGTGAATATAATAATCAAAATGCTGACCTGAAGTGTTTTAACAACTGTCGTAATGGCCTGGCTGTAGATATATTATGTACTAAGTATTTTATTAAATAATATTGCTTCCAAGTATTAGCTTTGTAAAAGTATGTTACGAAATACTACTACCCTTCTTGACATTTTAGGCTCACCTTGGAGGTTCATGTGTCACTCAGAAAGTTTTGCTAAACTAAAAAACTTTCTGTGATTAAAGTTCTTATTATTAAACCTTTTCAAAGAATTCTCTCGTAAAATCTATACCAAAAAAAGTCACGGTGACGTTTTGGAAAATAATGACATTCCAAAATCACGTTATTCCTTCGCGCTGCCATCGTACAATTTATCCGTTACTCCTGGGATTGATTCAGTCAAACTAAATAAATCACATGTAGGTAGGTACCGAAACGGTACACCGGTTGTTTAGGTAAAAATTAAAAAGTAGAATGGAACTTATAATAACTTAAAATACTATGTACTACTACTACTACTTAAAATAAAACCGAATAAATGAACAAATCGCGTATATACTTTATACTCATAAGACGTTTTAACGTTTCAAGTACCTATCCGTCGTTATCAACATGACAATGTCATGGTGACTTTTCACTGTGACTTTCGAGTAACCGGAACAGCAGTCACAGTGATGGCAAAATAACTACTTTCGATTAAGCCACTCTGAGTGAACTTGGTGAACCTACTATTCAAGTTGGTAGACTTTGGGGAATACTTAGCGCAGCTGGAGATCGAGACTGTGTATAAAAGCGCGTCTATGTTTCAGCGCACCTTGCCTGAGGAGAGAAAGGGAGTAATGCTCTCTCCCAAGGTGAGGAACAGCTGGTACTGGTGAGACCGCGGCAAAGGTGATAACACAATGGGGCTAAATCAGTGTGAATCTAACAAAAGACCGTTCTAGATCCGCGAGTCGGGTATGTGTAGAATGAAAAAAATAATAGCCGAAATATTTGTCGCCGCGTTTGGGGGTAGTGTGGTCCTAGGCCTTATATGAGGCTGCCGTTTTGATCAGGACTCGGAAAAGAAGCATTACGGAGTCATACGAGGAAACTGCCTCATTTCCCAATGAGGCGATGTGTTTACTAGTGACATGTCCTCACTAGGACGTATAGGCGGAGTTCGGTCATCCATCTCTCTGCCAAACTAGATAAAAACTGTGTGTATGCGTAAGGTCGCAGAACTCCGATATTATATTCAGCGAGCAGGTGATATCGCTGAAGGATGCTGCAGAAAGCTGGCAGATATCCCAATACGCGGATAAAATAAGAGTCGGGTGATGGAGGAAAGCATATCAGACACTCCTCCAAGCTCAATGATTAAGGCCTGGGTGGTGAATAAGGTGATTGTTCGTTGCTCCAAACTTAAAGCAATAAGGTGGCGCATACGAATTTGCCGTTCGCCGTTATGTGAAAAAGGACTTAGGGAGCTTCCTCTCCACTCCCTAAGCGAGGAGAAGTCCATTCGGACTACCGTTGTCGGTACTTCCATAGCCCTAGCAAAGATCACCGAAGGGTATTTCATCACGCAAAAAATATAGCCTAAATATTATTTTAAATAAGAAGTAAGTTCTACGTTTTTAACGAGATCAGGTTTCTTTTTACTAAAAGTCTTATTTTTCACTATTCCTAATTTTAGCTTCAAGGTCTTTCCTTCCAACAGAACTCTAAAAGGGTAATTTCATATTTAATTTAATGATTATTATTCAATTAGTCAGGTGTTCCCCCGGACATCTACCGGACGGCCCCTGGACGTCTTCCTCCGTCCTCCGTCCGGCAAACTACGATAAATCCGAGTAGGCCTGGACGGTAATCCTAGTTTGAACCAATTTTCAAAACTCTTTATCCAGTTCGACTTAAACATCTCTTCCGTAGAAGATGAGTTAGCAGCTTTTGAGGTGGTTACAGCTGTTTTGCTTTAGCTGGTTTTTTATGTTAAGGGAAAAATTAGACGCAGACGCAGTTTTAAATGCAGAAAAAATAAAAAAAAAAC